TGATATCCCATAATATTAAAGGTCAGTTTGATATATATGAAATATGGCAGAGGGGGTCAGAATTATTGCAAACAGCTGTACATGTACAGCCTTTTGCAAAAATTATGGGAATTGTTGAAATATCTAAATATCATAATATCGAGTGCATGATGGGTAATCCTGCGCGATGCCCTTAGTTTGTCTTTGTAGTTTAGTTTTTTTTTGGCGACAGACTTATCCGTAGTTCTGGACATTTTCTCGATGTCAACAATGAATTATTCTAGCAAACCTTCGTRTTCCRGRCAATATATGGATATGGATATTATGATATTTAGATATTTAGACAATTCTCATAATTTTTGCAAAAGGCTGTAATACTTGGTAAATGACTATTGTAACCCAATGTAATATGAGTGTTTGTTTTAATAAAATTATTAAAAAAATATGCAAAGATTCGTGGCTATTTTCGCCTGCACTGAAATTTTAATAATATTCAATATCATGGCTTTCTAAGGCAGTTGAAGATCACTACGACTGCTGTTTATGGAAATAAAAAAAAAATAGAATAATAGTCGTATAAGGTTTGCCGACATATTTGCTGAAGTCAATAAAGTATTTTCAGTTTTAGCTGCTATTGTTTATTCGTCCAGCATGGTGTCAATAGCTTTGTTCAAATGATTTCTGCAGCCAAGTGTGATTTCATGTTGGAAATGGCTAAGCAAAATCAAAGACACGACGTGCCATTCTAAAGGATTGAATCAAAGAGTAGAATAGAAAAAAATCAATTGAGCAAATTCATCACTGAAACTTCAACTGAGAGAGAAGATTCAAATCATRATAAGSAGATTACKATTCTTTTCCTCTGAATACCTGAYTGGYCATTTTCATTGGACCCTGTTMCATCCTCCTACAATATAARAGAAATTGACAGTGTAAAGATAAATAYATATTAGACAACCCARAATAGTCAAAAGACGTTCAAGTCCCATCTTGAAATGTCCTGATTTTCAAACTCTTGAACACTTTTCAATGATCTTCAATTGCCTGAAAGTTRTGACACAGAATGGCTCCCAAAAGACATAAAATTATGTTATTTTGATATTCAAATGTATAATTAAGTATTGTTGTGAAATTTCATTAATATGTTTCAAAAGATTTTTCTCCGTCCAAAGTCGAAATAGMACAAAAGAGGAGCATCCGTTAAATCAACATTGTTCCKTTTAAGTTGTTCATTGTGTTTTACAAACAAATATTCATTGTATCTACTCTATAATAAACAAATTTATTGCGCAATGACACGTATTAGAATTGTGTTATATTTGTGCGATTTTCACCCAATACAAATAATTAACATTTTCATCACTTACCGGAAGCGTTTCATAGTTCGCCATCACGAAGCAAGCCAGTGCCAACAAGACCAACAATNCACTGATCTAGAGATGTACTAGTTGATGATCTTTTCATTCTACCAAATATTCTATAGTTCACGTCATACCTGCCAGACGTTTGGTCTGGTGATTTTGGACRAAAACCTTGACATTTGTTTGGTGGCAGCATTCATGTCAACGGTGAAGAAATTTATCGATTTGAATTTCTTAAATATTTTTCATATAACAATGAGCTTACCAGCCATTAGGAAGGATTTTTCATATTTTTTTTTGCTTTTAGATGGAAGTGTTGTTCAGCCTGTGAAACTAAATTGTGACTATTTAAGAAGTGTTATATTCAAGTAGACAGAAAAGAAAACAATGGAATTAGAGCGTGCTTTTCACCTAGGACAATATGTCTGTTTCAAGAGATTTAATTTGTGACTGTACGCTAGGACTATTAGAATTAAGCGATTGATAAAGTCATTCACCAGAATAGAATATCCATTCAATAAGTCAAAATGGGAGCTTCAAATTTTGCTACGTGCGTCGGGATCAAAACAAAGTGAGCAATGAAGTGGAATCATTATAATTTATTTTCTTTACTCTTAGCGTTTATTATGCTCACTTGTGAAATATCTTTACAACACTCGAATATAAAATCARTATATCTGCTCTTATTTGATATTGTAAAGAAGTTTCGGAACTTTATGTTGAATATTATTGATATATGATATGTGGAAATGACTTTTCTGCTGTCTTTTTATTGGGATTGACTGTATAAGCATCCATTATTATCGGGATCGCTATTCACCATCAGTGGAAGCCAAATCCTTTACACTTGCCTAAAAAGTATAAGAAACAGAACGCAGAAAATGTTGAGTACTGAAAAAGGTGTATTTCGATACCGCATTTTTGTAGTTGTAGTTGTAGTGTTGCTTTTAATAGTTAAGGAATAAAAAAAAGTTTTCTCTGTATTATACTCTGATAGAAACACGCCGGATTTGGGGAGAACACGAGAGAAGCGTAGGAAACCACGATGCGAAGCGTCAGAGCGCGCGTAATATGAAAGATATTTYATAATAAAGTTTAATATAGTAACTTAAGACAATGCAAGCTCTCTATCTTAATTTGTAAAACTCATGAATAATTAATGAGGGAAAACAATAAAAATCACAACCGAAGGCGAAATATCACACAATCAACATTCAAGTACATACAATTCGTACCCTTCTGAGCTTCCAGTAATATTTTCCGTTTGGAGGAAGCAGTGTTCCAACCTTTTTAATATTCATCATAGGTGATTGAGGCGTTCCCTTGACTGCTCTGATTTCAACCCTTAGATCAAAGTCGCATATAAACCTCTTTATGAAATTGTTACCACATCCCCATTTGTTTCGAATACTTTGAAATACAAAGAAAATRAGCAATATCAGTAAGAGTAACAATCATTTCCAAAGGGAAAAAACCATTAAGGCTATTGCCTGTTTTCACAGGCACAAGTCAATAAGGTAAAAGTAATTATATGATAAATGTTTTTTTACTGATAACTTACTATTTCCAGTCGTGTCCACCGATTTCCCACAACCTGGGATTATTTTCGTCGATGTAAGCAAAGGCCACGKCATTTTTTCCAACACTAATTCTGTGCCAGGATAGAAASGAGCCACAATACTCGTACTTCTCTTTGCATTTGTACTTATTTACAATGCTGTACGTGTTACCCGCGTGAGGTATTATTTTCCAATAACAGTTCTTATTGTTCCGTTTCGAAATTGTAGTGTAAGTTTTGTTTTTCATTTGGTACCTCTTGTCCGCTCTTTCCCAAATTAGATCTTTCAAGCCATTACTTCCAGGTGTCATAAGGCAGTATAAACCAGTCATAGAACGATCGTATTTACCCAAATTCAGAATCTTAGTCGAGTAAGTGTCAGTTATGACGCTGACATCTGGATCAAACCCKGGAATAATCCAACTTTCGTATCGGACTACGTAGAGCTTGCCGAGTACCTTTCTTGCCTCATTTCTAWAATACGTCCGTAGACCTATAGTCSYATTGAGTTGACCTTGCCAAGCTGGGGTGTCCGGTATCATTGCAATATATTGTGTTTGGATTATATCATGATATAGTGCCAGATGTGCGTACATCTCACAATATCTTAGGCCTATTTTTATGTCTTCGCGTAGGCTGTAGGAGAACAAATAGCGTAATAGATTGGCAAGTACTCCGGGAAAAAACCAAGGTGTTATTTCCATAAAACGCATTGCCACAGCCATTTCCTGATTATTCAATTTTTTGCCCGACTTTGCARCTCTGTCTAAGAACTTTTTAGCGCGTCGAAGTACTATTAGCGTTTTCTTTCTCGTTTCGGAGAGGTCTTGGTTGGGAAATTTCGATAGAGACTCTTTTATATATTTTCGGACAAATACACGGAAAGGCTTTGGGCCAAACAAGCCAAGAAGAGCAGGAACAAAACCTTGAGCCTTTCTTGCAAGCTGGCTCCTTGGTCCAAAATTACTGGATATTGAGGCAAGGATGTTAGTCGCTGCTTTCATGGCACTTAYAGGGTCTTCACCAGCATTGCCATACGCCTCGATGTTTGAAGATATGACCCTTAGAGTCTCTAGTGCACGTCCCTTGGTATCGTTGGAGAGGCTTGACCAGTTTCTATCTAAACTTGATAAGGAATCTTTAGCACGAGATGACAATGGACCACTGAACGTAGAAAGTYTGGTTTGGACTGCAGTAATGAGTTTGTCTTTATCAGCTGCATGAACGAAATAAAAAGTCAAAAATAGTCCGCATCATAAATATTCCCTTCAAATCTATCATAGTGTGTTATTTTCTATTGTCTTTCTCAACCTCTTTTAAAAAATTGTACATTGAATTTAGTTTTTTTTATGTTTTGGATTCAAACACTACCTGCATCTTGAAGTTCAGTCATTGAATAGTTTTTGTATTGTTCATCATTCTTGTCAGGGGATTTCTGATTTGCCATCTTTTCAGCCAACTCCTTGGACTAAAAAAAATCAAAAGTATATCATTATCACTGCGGTGAGATCGATATATGTTAGGGGAATCATAAGTTTATTCCTGTGTCTCGTAATGTATCACARACTTTTACCATTTTTTTTATCTTTCTACGCCATTCTTCAGTACCTTCTTCTTGTTTACGGAACTTTCGGTTCTCGCTTGCCGAAGTATCTTCAAAAAATGGAAGAAATAATGAGGAGACAAGTTAGTATCTTTTGCGATTGCATTCCCTTATTTTGTCCAAAAGGAACATGTGTCACTATCAAATAATTTTTCAAGAGTTAAATCAATTTTTTATTCATTCTATAAATATAATAGTTCATGAAGTGCTTTCACGCACTGAGAATCGCTAAAACCGGACTGCAGAGCAAATTTCCAAATGTCATGGAAGGATTTTATTTGCCCGTACAAAAAAAGGCCGCCATATTGGATGAAGACTTCCTTTTCAGCTTTTCTTGTTCATACTTCCAACATGGTGGCTATAACTTTGCTCTCAAAAGATTCCTGAAGTCATGCAGTTCAACTGTACGAATAGAGGCACCATCTTATTGGATCGAAGAAGCTCAGGATATAAGCACACATTTGCCGCGCATACGAAAAGGGTCTGATTCAAAGAGAAGCATATCACAACGCAACTCAACAAATCAAACATTTAGCCTTACGAATCAAAACAAGACAAAGAGGGTTTTTCATTCTTGTACCTGTCGGTTCATTTCCCCTGGACTTTTTAAAATCCTAAAATATAATAAATATAATAAAAGATTAACAGACAAATAATTTTAGAGAACCGTAAATACGTTTGATAAAGCCCAGAATAGCAATAAGACGGATTTCAATACTGTTGATACTAATTTAGTTGGAGGAAACGTCTTGACTGGGAGTTATATCATGATGTAAGATAGCTGTGCTTATTTCTTAACTTACCGGGAGCGTTTCATTGTTCGCCATCACGAAGCAAGCAAGTGCCAATAAGACCAACAAGGAAAGAGCCCTGACGCCTCCCATCTCTCTTATATTAAAAATAGATGCTTTAAAGACATGGAAGTCAATTAAAAGAGGAAAGAATTCAATGAAGTGATTRCACTTAATCCTTTAAATTGTACAAAGAAAAATACCAMAAATTTGTGCTAAATTKGCAATTGAAGCAGAACTTCCTTTGAGGCCTCAAAGCGTGAAAAGATACTAACCAACTGGCGTAAAAACGCGATGCATTTTATATTAGATAATGGAAAACAAAAGAATTCGCATAATTCGAGACAATTGAATACTACTGAATAACTAAAGGTTTTTATGGTATTAGTGTTAWCATTTTACCTTGTATCCTTTGAAACCACTTGTAGTAGAACCAGTAAGAGCAATGTCAATATCTGAATGACACTGATCTAAATGCACTAGTTGATGGTCTTTTGATACAACGAAATATTCTATAATGCACGTCATACCTGCCAGACGCATTGGTTGGTGATTTTGAATAACAACTTTGACATTTGTGTGGTGGCAGCATTCATGTCAACAGTGAAGAAAGTTTTGATTGGAATTCCGATTTTTTTTTAATATAACCATAAGTTAACTAGCTGTATTTAGGAAAGAAGTTCCATTATTTCTTGACTGTCGTAGATAATTTTTTGGAAGGGTTTAGAGCTCGTGAAGTAATAAAAACCGTGAAACAAAATTTGACTATTTTACAAAGTGTGGTAGTCAAACACAGACACRAAAGAAACCAATAGATAAGAGCTTAAGAAGGTGTATTAGTGGAATACCGTCCACCAACGTTCTTGAGTTGTAGAGAMATAGAGACAACAAAAATTTCATTTGAAAACATCATGTACTCTAAATTTCTTTGCCAAAATAAGCAAGCTAAAGCCCCAAAACTTCTTCACAATTTCAATAACATATAATTTGCTATATATTTAAAGTTTATATTTTACGATTCTTCTTGGGAAGATTAAAAATGTATTCGTGTAAATGACTTTTTTGTTGCTTTATGTTTTTAGAAGCGAACAACAATGTTAATGGGATTAATGTTAATGGGATTAACTGTAACTATTTAATGGGATTTTCGACCTCACACTATTTTCACTTTTGAAATTGAACGTTCTTATTGATCCTTGTTTATTGCAAAAGTAGATCAAATGAAGACAATGTCTACCAAAGACTCTCTTATAGTATAAATCAGTTTTTATTTCTCATAAATTTGAAAAATCCACAGTCGTGCAAACGGCGTTTGACA